CACGCACACAGCATAAATGATCCACCAGTGCACCTCAGGGGTGGAGGGTTCAGAGAATATTACAGCACTATATAAAGTTTATCAGCTTTCGTAGCAATTAAGTTTTTGTAAAGCCAACATACAGTTTTTCTTATTTTTATTTTTTTATTGTGTGTGATAATAATTGTTATTTACCAGAACTAGCATTAATGGCAATTGTAGAAGCAGCAGGCTAGAAGTAAAAGGCATTAAAGGCAATGACGCAGAGCAAGGCTGTAGCCATGGAGTCAAGACTGGGGTGAAGCAAAGGCCTGGGTGGTTGGTTTATCATGACTTTCAAGGTGAACCATGTTTGCCACAAATTTTGTTTCCACTCCACGCAATTCTTAATAATTCTTCTTTCAATAGTTACACTTCCAGTGAAAAATTATTTACATAACCTTTTTCATGAATGCTCCGCCTGAAGTTAAGTCTAGCTGGTGTTGCAATGACAATCCCATCAATAATTGATAATTGAATAATGGAACTATAATATATCCTGAATGTACACAAACGTTTTTAATGAAACTAATGAAACGCAGACATTGCACTGTCTAACACTCGATCATACTTGATCCAGAAAAGGTTTTAATGGAAATATGGTGACACTTTTTGAACAATCCATTCAAAGAAATTCAGTCCTTTGGTCCACTGTATAACTACAGCCTTCAACAACAGCAATCTGTTATGGTAGTGATATCAACATATTTTAATATTGGGACCGTATGAAGTTATAGCTTTATATTGCATTCGGGAAGTTATATGAGTGACAGTGCCCCCTACTGGCTAAAAACAGTAATAACAATAGGTTGTGTGTTTTACATGAATGTACAGTCTACATGTTGTAGCTGGTTATGCTTTAGAGTTAATTAAACTGGACAACCTCACGACTAATAATTACGAAAAGTAGTATTACACGAGTAATAACGAAACAATTCTTATCGAAAACTAGTGAGGTCAGCGTATAAATAAGCAAAGGTCATTGCAGTGAAGTAAATTTACAAATTAGTAGTCTCATATAAATTAGACTGCTGCCTAGACTAAACTAAATCGGTTACAACAATCCACGATGACAACTATTTATTCCGGACTTTTAGTTAAAAAAGAAGAAGAAAAAGACAAAAATCTAATGACCATTAAATTCACGTTATCTACTTGGGTAAAAAAAAAAAAAGAAGAGGAAAGAAACAAAAACGGATGTATGTCACGATTAAAGCCCACCCCGACTACATTTCCCATCAGTACTCGCTTAGAGAAAACGATGAGAAACCAACAACAGGGATTCAGCCAATAACACTGCGGAATGTGACATACTCGTTTAGTGATTGGCTATTTTTGCCTGAATCTCCCACGATGCTTTGCTGCAATACCTTAGAATTCAAATCGAGCGGACCAATCAGAGAGCACCGTAACGACCGAGGCAGCATTTTAAACTTGTAGCAGAAACTGTTGTCAAAAGGCAGGACGGGTTAACGCTGCAGCCATCGACGGACAACTCTGGCGATTACTTTATTCAATATTTTCGTTTTAAAAAAATAATTATAGTCTAGTTGCACCGCGTTTTAATTGTCAATGAAATGTTTAAGTAACAACCGCGTCTAAAGCGTATTATAGCTAGTTTTGATTTAAATTCAGAAGTGCAGGGAGCACGCTAGCTTCCAAGGCCAAACTAACGTCGGTTAAGGTAGGGTTAACAATACTCTCTTCCTTGGGGTTTATCATTAATAACTCTATTGCGAAGGGGCTT